ATAGGGAGTGGGGGGGGGGGGGGGGGGGAGGTCATTTTTACCGAAATTCGATCTAAACCCCTAAACAGGTAAAATTACTCTGAACACCTTAGTTTAGGTCCAAATATAGCTGTAACAAATCATCAGGTCCCTGCACCTCTAATGTGATTCTAGAAACCGACCCCGCCATATTGGTTTGTTCGGTTTAATTTAGTTTAAGGTTCATATTAACAGCTTAGGTCATTCAAGGACGTGTCTCCATGTGTGTAAATGTATGCGTGCTTGTGCGTGTGTATACAGGAGACAAGCGATTTTTGTCTCCTTGTGATAGCGCGGATCTGATGCCGACTTTATAGTGCCATCTCACTGAAATACCAAGCCGAAGTAACCCAGCACGGCATTCCACCCGGTCACATTATACGGGCAACGGATTAACCAGTTGTCATTCCCATAGATACTGAACGTTAAGCAGGGAATAACAACTACCATTTTTAGGAACGTTGGTATGTCCCGGCCTGGGGACAGAACCCATTGCCTTCCTCACCTAGGCGAACGCTCAACTTAATATTAGGCCAAAGTGAGGTGTTACCAAGCAAGGCGCTAGGAAATAAAAGGTAGTTAGAAGTAGAAAGAAAGATAAAGATCTCAAATATTGCAATGGGTCAGTGCAGCAGATTTATTTAGGTTGCTTTTGTGTCCCTAAACCAAATGCCCAATTTTGAAGGGTTCCCACATTAGTCGCCTCCTACGACACATGCTGTGGACCCAGACATATGCCTCGGACCGTATATATCCCCCATAATCACACAGCGTCATTGTAGATTTTACAATAGTGTCACGTATGTAATCCGACAAGTACTACTTATGGCTAAAACAATTATATGTATTTTTGATGAAACATGACTGAAAAGATGGGGTATGCTGGTTGGGATTTATCGAAAGTACATTACTGTGGAGAAATTAACGATATTGTTGTCTTGGATAATCTCTGTCATCAAAATTTTGATGGACGCATACCCTCATGGTTTATATTTAGCAACAGTGGCCATGACATTGATTCAAAAAATGTCAACACCCCTATTCCATATTTGCATATCACAATGACTCGCCGGTTTATTTTTTTATTCAACAACATTGATATTTTGGATTCCAAGGTAACCTCCAGAAGGTAAGTAAGAACAGGTGGGAAAACAAACATGATTTTCCAATACAGAGCTGTAAAATTAAAAGGAGAATAAAGCATCGTGTTTTTGCAAATTTTAATCAACATAACAGTCATAACAGTGTATTTTTTCTTCTTTTTCTTTTTTTATGTATAAAAAATCTAAATTATCTAAAATCATCTAGGCTAGGCAATCAATAGAAAATGTGTAATGTTCGCGTTTTGATTAATACAAGATTATGTTTGATGAGATATGAATATGATGAATAAAAAACAATTTAAAATGTTTAAGCATGGTTCTGGTGAACATCCATTCATTCATCCAATCAATGATCTGCTCAAATGAAAAGAGGAAAAATGCTGATTCAACTCGAAAAATCTGAACAGAAAGTCTCTTTATCCAAATGGTTTAATAATGGCACGAAAACCTTCTCATCTTTACTGTAGCACCACATATATCCAGGTAAATTAGCACATTTGTTATGTCCACACAAGGAAAAAATCTCACCACGGTAATGTTGTATGCATCTTTTAATTACAAAGATTTTTAGCTTTTCACTAGAAAAATGAAGAATAAAAATGTTGAAATGAAAATGATGTGAAGATGTTATGAAGGCACACTTACACAAGCATTTAAAAACACATCCCACATATTCCAACAAACAGTATCTTATACATGAAAATGTACTAAATGCAACACGAGTATGTTGTTCAGTCTCCCTCTTGCACACATGTAATTGCATTTTTGATCTCTTCTACTTACAAAAGTTGTCTATGAATATCAACATAACTTGAAAATATTCTGTGTGCTGCAGAGCAGATCAATGTTTGTTTTTACAAGGACTTTTGAATATTGCACAACTTATTTTCACTTGAAATATATATTGCATTCAAATTTAGGAAAAACATGAAATTTAATACCAAAAATAGAAAAATTCAAGGCATTTTATTATTTGTGCAGCTTGAATAAATGTCATATCGATGAGTTTCAGAGGGGAATGCTATGATTTTGGCATCATTTCTCGTCTCTTTTAAGACTTGCTCATTCAACAATAAAGGCATTATATTGTGCCTCGGCGTGAGTAACAGTCGTACCCACGAGTTTGTGGGAGGAATGCTGTAGATTGGAATCACTTTCAGTAACATAGCAACAATCAAGGACCCAAACATTCAACAATTAGCAATGCCACATCCAGTCAACAAAATATTCCACAATGACCTTCGCATTCATTCAATGCACGACAACAAGAACTTAGTACATTTTGCTGCAATAATATTGCGTCCCTCAAAACTGATAGTAATCCAGACATGAACCAGTTTTTATTGCAAATTATGACGAAAACATTTGGTTCTGTAGTTCCTGGACCGATTTGAAACATTAATTTAAAGGAGAGGCCCAATGGTCCTAAATTGCTGAAACCTGGCTATTTTGGAAATGAAGAGGTAAAACCTTTCATGCCCACCAGTTTGGGCCCCTTAGGGAACCCCCAGGAGGGCAGGCCCCTTAATAATTTTATCCCCATGTACCAAGAATGCTGCCACCATGTTGATTTACTTAGTCTGCCCTTCAAGTTTCGAAAGGCCATGTAATGTAATCTTTCCCTAATGTCATATCTCCCTTACGGGTTAAGGATGCTACCACTAGTATGAAATCTGTCCTGCAGTTTGGAAGTGATCCAACCAATATGACCCCTTTTATCCCCACCCTCAGTCTTTCATTTGTGTAACCATGGATTTCCATTGGTCCAAGTAGTTGATCATTACGATTTTAAGTAAACCAGCAAATTTGACCACTTTAACTCCCGCCCCGGAAGGGTCAGTTCCTTTATTTGTATAACATTTGATCCCAATCGGTTAAGCATACTACAATCTACAATTTGGTTGAAGTACGTCCTGTACTTTGAGAGGAAACACAATGTCATTGTCTTCTTTTAAATAATCTTTTTCATGTGTAACAAAATCCTGACACCACAGCATAAGCTTGTCTGGGCTCTGCCCCAAAATTGGTAGACAACAGACGATGGACAAAGCACCACAACATAGCTCGCCCTGGTACGAATACTAAGTAAACTACAAATTATCATACCCTTTCCAAGATTTGGGTAAAAATCTTAACACTGCTGACAACCTTATCTTTACAACTAGTCACTTATATGAACTCTTCTTAAAAATTACCTTACACATTTTTCATTTTTTTTTTTTATCAAAGGATGCTTCCTTTCCTTATTGATTAATCTGTTTCTCATTTTGCAAGATTTTCACAAATGTTGAACCTACTAGGTTCGCAACGATGTTCTTTAACAAGAGATTGTCAAAACATAATCATTTCACATTCATACCAAGATATTATCATATTTAGTCATACATAACACGAGGTGTATATCCAACAGCATTTCACACAACATGCCTTTTAAAAGTTTAAAAGGATGACAAACAATTATTTCCAGTCTCTCACATTCAGTTATTACATTATATTCTGTGTCATGTTCTCAGAATGTGAATCAGTATCAGAAGTGTATCCCAACTTCACTTGATTTCCTTAAAAAATGTCTGCTCCCTTTCACGGCTACTTCCTGTGCAGTGGCACAGCGGAGATTCTTGAGGACTTGGACTAATAATATACATGACACTTAAAACTGAATTGCATTTAAATACTTGCAATCAATTATCAGCTCAAAACTTCATTAGGGACACATATTTGGTTTGTGCACATGAAAAATTTATCTTTACATAATTGTTTTTTCACTATGTAGCAATTTATACAGCTGAATTCACAATGTTCTTAGAAAAAAATTATTTAGTTCCCGATGAATTGCATGTTTTAAAATAATGTATTTCTAGGTCCAAAAGGTTAAAAGGGATAAAGTTCATGTGCATTATCTCCTTTTCTTTTGCCTCATACTTCCAAAAGATTCCCATGTGACGGAACGCGATTTCTTTTAGCTCATTCTTCCAAGAACAATTCGTCTTAGAAAATAACTTCTCTCTTCAGAGATTTTTTGCCTCATTTGGTGAGGTTAATGTTTTGTTGGTTTTTACAGGAAGTATAGACGATCTGCAAGATCCAAGGCAGGTTCCTTGTGAATGGACTGGCCCACCAGGAAGGCAAGTTTGTGAGCATATTGGCACGGAGCAGGTACACGGATTGTTCCCTGCAACAAACACACGTTCAGATAGTGATTTAAAGATGGATCGTCTTTTCAATACAATGAACACAAAAAGTGAAATGGTCAGTTACAGCCTATAAAGTAAAAGCAAAACATTTTAAGTGGTCCTGGCATTGCCACTTTGTTTCCAAACCCAGAACCGAGAAACACTACTGTAAGGCAGCATGACAAAAAACTATATTAAGTTAAATACTTCTCGTCATGTCAACACAGAAACAAGTGAAATTTTGTGACATTAGGTCATTTTTCTGTCAAATTCATCAGGGTCTGCAAATAAGCTACACTAGCCAAAATATGGAGTTTTTGGACAGTTTGCGAAAATAATCGAGAGCCTCTGCATGCGACAACCAAAAATTCCATTCTATAAAGAACACTGGTATGACCAGTTTAATCATGCCATATATTTATTTGGTTGGTGCATGGAGAGCCTTTCAAACAAGAGGCCCAAGGGCCTAAGCGGTCACCGGAGTTATATAAAAGGTACTGGTAGCTCAATTTCATTGTTGAGATGCGATGTGGAAATCAACATATAAACTAAGTGAAATACAATACTTGTCATGTCATGAAAGGATAAGAATTTTAAACATATTGGTTAATTTTCCTTTTTGGGCCCCGCCCCCCCTAGCCCCTGGGGATGGGGTAGGAATCCCAATTTTACATCTTGATATCATCTTCCTCCACGGATAATTCTCACAAAGTAAGAATAATTTCCCGATTACTTGGTTCTCAGGCCTGCGCGCATTGCCGATTTTATCGTGAACGTAATAAAAAACAAGGTTACCGCGAGCGGTATATAATACGCCCGTCACACATTGAATGAGCAGGTGTTTGTATGATTGAAATATATGTTTCAGCAAGTCCATAAAGGGGCATAACTCCACAAATTATGGTCTGATAATGGCGGTTATCGAACTTGTCAGAGGGTTCATGGTAATTAACCTTGTTGTGAAGTTTGAAGTTAATCCATTAATAATTACTCGAGATATCGAGCGGACACTGTTTCGGCAAGTCCATAAAGGGGCATAACCTCCACAAATTATGGTCGGATAATGGCGGTTATCGAACTTGTCCGAGCTTTCATGGTAATTAACCTTGTTGATAAGTTTGAAGTTAATCTGTTAATAATTACTTGAGATATCGAGCCCTCATCTCGTTTTTGCCATGTAAAATGAAAAAAACAAAAAACGCCCTGCCGCATCTGATTTGAAAAAAATTGGCCTGAGAACCAAGTAATTAATTTTATTTGGCCTATAGTAAACTTTACCCCCTCCCCAAGGGAGAACAGAGAACTTGGGGGTCCTGAAATTTACAATTTAAATAAAGTGCATGGTGATCTTTCCATCCATGCGAAAAAAAATGACTGTAGTACCCGAGTCTGGAGAAGAAGATTTTTGAAATATTGGTAAATTTTCCCTTTGGGGCCCCGCCATGCCCAGGCCCCAGTAAATCCCAATTAAACAATTTTGTAACTTCATCTACCAAGGATGATTCTGACCAAGTTTGAAAAAAGTCTATCCACTGGTCCTTGAGAAGTTGAAAATGTAAAAAGTTAACGCACGATGGGGGGCGCAAAGCGATCAGAATAGGTCACTTAAGCAAAGCTCAGGTGACCTAAAAATTGAACAGTGTTCATTTAATTTGCTTCAAAATGGCCAATTTTCAACATAAATAACACACAAGTCGATATAAACGCATTTTACTAGGAAAAATGCAGGTTTATACCTCTCTTTGTTATGCCATATTTGAAAGTTCATATTTGTGCTATCCATTTATTCCTTATAACGAATATAACGACTAGTTCTTAATCCCGGCGAGGCGAGAAATGCCCCTTAATGCCCCTAGTCCTTTAGTCTTGTATAATGTTCACATTAAATCAGGTTCAGTTACTTATGATGCAGGATATTACATGTAGCCTTTAACAAAGTATTAACTTTATCAGAAATATTCAACACAATTTATACCGGCCAATTGTAGTACAGGTGAGTCATTTTATAGGTGAGCCTCTGCATGTGGTCAGGCTTCAGCCCCGTTGTGTCAAAGATGACGTTGAAATGGGTTGGAGTCACAGTTCCTTGTCGCACAGACTGTGACACGAGGAAGAAGTCAAACCTGATAAACAGAAATACAACAAACTAATGACTTCATTTTCCAATGAAACCTGCAATCAAGTTTACACAACAAACTAATGACTTCATTTTCCAATGAAACTTGCTATAAAGTTTACACAATTTATGGCCTTTTTTTTATTCATCACTTGATCCAACAACAGTTGCTTCAAAAGTTGTATTCTGAAATAAGTGCTTAATCTCAAAGATGTCCATTCAATTCCAACACAACTTTGTTCAGCTGTACAATGAAATGTCATTTTACCAATAACTTGCACATGCCCAGTAAAAAGAAAACGCTCAAATGTTCTATGGATCATTTCTAATACAATCTGTTAGCACCCTATACCAAGAGCTTGTTAAAATACAAGAAGCAGACTTCATTTTTTACACACCAGGAACAATAAATAGTTCAATACGACACTTGAATTTCTTATAGAACTACTGAAATTTTAATAGCAATCCTTACCACTCTGGTTTTGTGACCTCCGTGTCGATGACCGTCCCTGGTACAGGGTTGGTGTAAGTTCTGCCGGTCTTGGCAAAGAACCGGCTGTTGATCCTCTTCTTGACAACAACCACTGCGATTTTCACACTGAAATGAATTAGAGCCACTGCATTAGTTCTAGTAAACTTGTCACAAATGTGATTTTAATTTTTTAAGGTTTCTGTTTTAGTCTGTAGATCAGTTGACCTATGACTAGAATGATTAGAAGTTTCCATGTATTTTTTTCATATACTTCATTTATTTTTTATTTTTTAATAGAAATCCAAATAGTATGCACATCAAGGGAGCTGAAGAAACACATCTTGCCCTTAAATGTTTCGGACAAAACTTTCAACAAAACAAAAGGCCCAATGGGCTAAAATACAGCTACAGGCAGAATATCAGTGTTTGATTCATAAGAACCTATTAAAAGATTTAAACATATGACGCCTGTGACCTTAAATGTCGAACAAGGACACTAGGTTGAACAGAGTTAAAGTCTTCCAACCCAGCATGCTTTTGGCAAAATATCATAACCCTGGACCTATTGGTTATACAGAACAAGTCATTTAAAGATTTAAACATATATTGACCACTGTGACCTTGAATATGGGCAAAGGTCGTTCATTTTGACAAAATTGGTAGCCTTTCATCCCTGCCTGTTAATGACCAAATATCATCACCCTTGGCCTTTGGCTAATTTAGAAGAAGTCGTTTAAAGGTTTTAAACATATTTGACCCCTGTGACCTTGAATATATGTAAAGGTCATTCATTTAAACAAACTTGATAGCCCTTTATCCCAGCATACTACTGGCCAAATATATTCATCCTAGGCCTCTTGATTATTCAGAAGAAATTGTATAAAAGTTTTTAACATATTTGACCCCAGTGACCTTGAATATAAGTCAAGGTCATTCATTCAAACAAACTTGGAAAGCCCTTCATCCTGGCATGTTACTGGCCAAATATCATTATCCTAGGCTTCTTAGTTATTCAGAAGAAGTTGTTTAATAATTTGTTAAGACAATTGACCCCTGTGACCTTGAAAATGGATGAAGGTCATTCATATGAACAAACTTGGTAGCCCTTAATCACAGCATGCTACTGGCCAAATATCGTAAACCTATGCCTCTTAGTTATTCAAAAGTTGTTTAAAGGTTTTTAACATATTTGACCCCTGTGACCTTGAATATAGGTCAAGGTCATTCATTTGAACAAACTTGGTATACCTTCATCCCAGCATGCTACTGGCCTAATATCATTTTCCTAAGCCTCTTGGTTATTCAGAAGAAGTTGTTTAAAGGTTTTAAACATATTTGACCCCTGTGACCATGAATATAAGTCAAGGTCATTCATTCAAACAAACTTGGAAAGCCCCTCATCCCAGCATGTTACTAGCCAAAAATCATCACTCTGGGCATTTTGGTTATTCAGAAGTTGTTTAGAGTTTTTGACATATTTGACCCCTGTGACCTTGAAAATAGGTGAAGGTCATTTATTTGAACAAACTTGGTAGCCCTTCATCCTAGTTTGCTTCTGGCCAAATATCATCACCCTAGGCCTTTTGGTTATTAAGAAGAAGTTGTTTAAAGTAAAATATTGACGCCGGACGCTGCACCATGGCATAAGCTCACCGGGCCCTTTGGGCCAGGTGAGCTAAAAACTTGCCAAACTTCATCAGTCATCTCATAATGAATTCTAACCACTAAAAAATGCCTTATAAACAAGAGGCCCATATCAGAGCTATAGAAGTTGAAAAACTTTCAATTGATATTCAACCATGGTGGCCTTTTGATTATATATTTTAATTCAACAATACTACAGGTGGCCTCATGAGAAAAGCATTTGTACCAATTCTGGTCAAAATCATCTAACAGTGTTCTGATTAGTCGACTATTGGTCAGTTGGGCCGATAAATACTTTATCGACTACAAAACCCAGGATTAATTCAGTTGAGTGATCCATGGCTTCAAGCCAATCTCCTTGCAAGAGACTAACAAGAGCTAAGTAGCAAAACTTTTGTTTTATTTATTTCCAGCAGCTACATCACCGACTTACGATCACTTTCAAGCCTGCTTAGGGTTTGTAAATTACAGACTTGGTTTAGGCATTTCTTTCACTGTATCAAAACCAGTTGAAAATCATGCCAAGCCATATATTTAGTGTTTTTAAACAGGCATCCCCATTTTCAGTCTTTCTAGAATAAGATGAGATGTCTTTTCAAAAGAAAAAGTAGACAGACAGTAAATGCAGCCCTACAGCTCAAACTGTGTGAATCAGTTTGCCAAACTTACTTGTAGTCCTCTCCTGCACACTCCTTGATTGTACCCACAACTTGTGGCACCTCGTGTTCGTGTACGGCTGGGAGCTGTCCATCCCCAACACCGTCCCTGAAGATGACGATCTTATCCGGCAACATGTTATTCACCTCATGGTACTTCTTCAATGCATCTGTGATCACAAACGGGCAAATTACAAAATCAATATTGATTTAATAGTGTAAATGTTAACCAGAGGGCAACAGGCTTTCAAAGCTCACCCGGTGTTTTATTTTCATTTTTAAACCTGCCGAATATCATTACTGTTTATCAAGAAAGTAGAAGAAATATAAGCTTTAACAATTGCAAGGACTAAATCCCTTCGGATGACACTTAAGATACATGTGTATTCTTCATGTACAGCAATTCCGAACTTGGTTATTGTAATCTTAACTCATCGGTTTTACACAGTGTTTTCGTTACCTTAATTTTGCTTTATGAATTGGGAAAATATAGCATTATTTGTATTGAAATCGGAAATAAATTCCTCAATTTTTGTCATTTTGGGAAAACAAAGCACTTTTTAGCTAGGGGAAACGGCCTGTATTTTGCAGTAAAACTGAGCAAATAACAATCACCGTTACCTTTTCAATCCCCACCATCTAGATATGCTTCAAGCTAATTTTGGATATTTTTTGGAATGATTAGTGATCAGAAAATGAACAAATTGTTTATGGACAGACAAAACTTGATTTCGGTACACATATGCTCACCTTTGTCATTTAGACTGGCAAGCTTTTTATTTTCACATTCGTTTTTGTACTACTTACCTTTGACACAGACCTTGAGTCCATCATTGAGCTCCTGAGCTGTGTGTTGGAAAGTACATCTCGAGTAGAACCTTGTAATATTTCTATTGATACTGCACACAACACCTCCAACTGATCTCCCCTTACTGGCCGAGTCGTGATACGTGTCAATACCTATCACCATCAAATTCTTCAGCTATTTGTAGAATAAAACATGGGTATAGCCATTATTAATTCCTCTTCAGGATCAATACACAAAAACTTTCACTAAACAAGAGGCCCATGGGCCTTAACGGTCACCTGAGTCTATAGTATTTATTTTTGTTGTTGAAATATGTACCAATTTGAGTAAAAAATAGTATAATGTTAACTTAACTTTGTCAGGACCATGAACTGATCATTCCTAGACAAATTTTAAGTGAGATCAGCCTATTAGAACTTAGTAGCAGAATAGCGGCCATGGCAGCCAAATTGTATTTCTGATTGACCCGAAAAATAACAACACTTTGTCAGGACCATGATTCGATCATTCCTACAAAGTTTCAGTTCAATCGGCCAAGTAGATCTTTACTTTAAGTTTGAAATAGTTT